CCACGTCTTCCTTCTATAGAAGAGGGGATGCCACAGTGCTTCTGTGTACATGGTCTTTCAGATCGAAGGGAATCCCATTCTGACACCACAGATGTCGCAAATTCAAGAGCACGTTCCCAGTTTTCACAGTACATAAACGAAAATTTGTCTGCATGGTACAAGACTAAGGCTTACAACAAAATGCCAAGTTACTAAAGTGCCCCGATAGAATACGGAAAGAACAGTCCGAATAAACACTTAGATTGATCAGGCGGAACGGCACTCCAAGTTAATTGATTTGTGTATTGTATGGCAACTATTGTGAAGCATATTTGTTGTATACATAGAGTCCAGCGATACGTGAGAGACTCAAGGACGCAAACCGGTCTCTAGTAGCAAGACAAAACCATCACCGTCTGACACGATTATTCCCCATTGAGACTCCGGGCTAAACCGTGTCGAATGGCGGATTAGGACGCATTGACAACGTAATCCGATTCCAATGACCAATCAGATAAACCAGTCGGCCAGCCACTCAGGCGCTTACGGACTCACGCCGATGTTGCCTACAGCTTTCTCTTTGTTCCATGCCCTTTCTATCCGTTCCTATTCAACTTTGCCATTGTGGATGTCCTGAAAAATGCTCTGGGCGATTGGTTGAACGCTGGTGTTAAGCTCCTTCCAGGTAGTCCAGTTGTGAATTTGGGTTATGCTGATGATATCGTCTTGCTGGGTGACGATCCACACGTCGTCCAATTTACACTAAACCGCTTGGCGATTGGAGCATCAAAGTATGGTATGTACTTTTCGCTATCCAAATGCAAGGCTCTCTCCCAAGACTGGCAGGTGCATCTGTCTGCACTCACTCTTGGTGATGAGACGCTAGAGGTTGTGGAGAGCTTTGTCCACTTGGGAAGTTGTATCACTGCTGGTGGGGCTGTTGGAGACGAGATTTCGATGCGCATCTCGAGAGCACGTCTCGCTTTTTCTAGGCTGAGGCACTTGTGGCGTCGCCATGACATTCGTCTCTCCATCAAAGGGCGGGTCTATTGTGCAACTGTTCGTGCTGTACTGTTGTACGGATGCAAAACTTGGCCCATTCGTAAGGATGACTTGGGCAGGCTATCCGTCTTCGAGCACCGCTGTCTGCGGTCCATTGCCCGTGGGTGGTGGTGGCACCACGTAAGCAACGTGGAAGTTAGACGGCGTGTCTTGAGACGTGGAAGCCACTCGCTCGAGGAGCTCGTCTCACTGCATCAACTGCAGTGGCTGGGACACGTATTGCGCATGCCTGTCCAGCGTTACCTGCGTCGTACGTTGTTTGCGGTTGCTGAACAGGGCTGGAAGAGACGGTCTTGTGGACAGTCTGCAACTTGGAAAACCCGCATGAAAAAGCTGACGAAACAGTTGGCCTCGGCCAGTTGTTGTCGACTACCTGGTTGGGATCCGAGAGATGCGGATACTTGCTGGTTGAAGACCTTGGAAGCCATGGCTCAAGACCGATGTCAATGGCGAACGTGTGCATCGGTGTGTTGCGGTATCCCTTCTTTCTCCCCTTAAAAAAACGAACTGAAAAAATTTCAAAAACTGAGTGGTAAGCTGGATAAAAATGCTTTAGTTGTTGTTGCTCTTATTATTCATACTGTTTTCCTATTCAGCCATGATTCTGATGGCACAATATCTGTACCATATATATATATATATATATATATATATATATATATATATATATATATATATATATATATATATATATATATACAGCTGCAGTCTCTTTCCGCAGCACCCGTACAACCTTGCCTTGTGCGATCTAAACCCATAGGTCACGTTAGGTATCCTTGGTTCCCCGCGACGGTATTACACTTTATGATAGGAGCAACACGTTTCTGACGCAAAAACACCCCATGTATACCGTTACCTGTAACCTCCTGTTCCCCTCACCAAAAAATGAAAGAAAGCATTGTTAACGAATGAAAAATGCAAGCATCTGTTGATGAAATCCAGACCTACTAGGTCAACGACCTAAAAATAAATGAGTTCACCGCTGCCATAAAATAGGTTACTTATAAAGTATTGAGAAAACCTGTGGCTCGGAGTGTGAATGAGGTTGTTTTGTTCTCGGAGCTGGGTGTTTCAGGTGCAGACGTTCCGGTCATAATGGACGAAACTGACTGTGCGAAGAAAGCACAAGAATTGCTCGAAAATGTGAACAACTATCAGCCGATACGTCTACAGAGCAAGATCAAACGCACTCTTCAAAGACTAGAACAAACGGGACAGACCACGAAGTTAGAACACAGCAAGATGAAAACCGAGGATTCCATACTACCACGGTTCTACGGCCTAATCAAATTACACCAAAATGGGGTACCACTTCGGCACATTGTGTCATTACCCGGGGCATAGAATTGCAAGCTTTCTAAATAACTCTAGAAACGGCTGAAACAGTTAACCGCTAGCTCAGAAAATTCAATCCAATCGGCGTAACATTTCCTTGGGAAATTCAGTGAATGACGATAGATGGTACAACCCTGTTCACATCAATTGACATCAAGTTGGCAAAGCAAACAATGATCCTGCTGGAACAACACGGAGCGGCGAATTTAAACCACAGAATTAGTGACAAATGATTGAGTTACTTGGTTTCTGTCTCACCGCACTTTCACTTTCAACGTCTAAACTTACAAACAAATAACGGTCATGCCAATCTCCAAACTGTTAGCCGAGGCAGTGATGCAGGCACTGGAGTAAAAGGGCACTGCCAATAGTAGAGCTTAAGCTTTTGATATGCTACGTGGACGATACTTTTGTTGTCCCCAAATGCTCTAGACTTCAAGAAACACTAGCTAATATCAATATTTTATCTGGCATCCGTGATAAGACATAATTCTGGCCCCCTAGACACAACAGTTCAACGGAAAGGAACGCATACGGAATACTGGTTAGAAGCAGCAAGTAGAGTTTTCTCTGTGTAGCTGCATCAATCGTCACTCATGGACAAATACCCGTTATGTTGTGTTCCGCTCAATATACTTTGCGTCGGCAAAGTGTTCGTCAAGGATCTTCTTAAATTCCGACACTGATTTTGCCTCAACTACGTGCTGCGGCAGGTCATTCCATACATTCACCACTCTGCGTTCGAAACAGAGTTGGTGAGCAATCCGCTTCAAATCCGGTACGACAAGCTTATACCGGTGTCCTCGTGTGCTGCTTGGTGTGCGCAGATGAAGCAGTGGTCTCAACAGCGTTGCGCTGATAAGTGGTATGTAAGTTGAATGTGACCCGACTACAGTGGACGACGGCGGTTATTTATTGCAGCTATATGAGCAGGACGACGTTCTATAGGTCCTCAAGTATGCGGAAAAACTGAGGTACGAGCGAGTTTAGTAGGCTGTTGGATGTAACTCTCCACTCCCCCTACAGGAAGCGCTCCAGAACATCCACAAAGAACTAAACACGTGAAAGTAGCGGTTGCAAATAGATGCAGACATCTGTGACTACGTTGATTAACGGGAGGTTAGCCAACAGTTGTGCTGTAATCATATGTAGAAGTGATGGCAATGTCAAAGCCATACTAAGTCACACAAGACGAACGAGAGGCACTAGCTTCAAGGTTATCTAACAACTGCATATCAATTGCAATAGGCGCAGCATTTTCTAGGGGGGATAGCTCGTAGTACAGTGGCACTTACTTAATTTTCTACCTCAATACATAATCCCATAGCCAATGTTTTCGCGTCCTAAGAGACCAAGCGAGAGAAATATGATGTAAAATTAGCAATGAGGTGTACACAAGCCCTTGAATACAAGGAAAACTAAAGATGCAAAACCATGGAAGAAATAAAAATAGGTGTGAACGTATGCGAAACCATCTTGCGAGCTGTTAGTCGTGGCAACAGCAATGATGTGACGAAATGCGAGTTCTGACGGCTTCAACAAAGTAAACTTCGGGGCAGATGCATCGCGGGACATTAAAGATAAAAGGAACGAGGAGCAACTACCAGTTGGCGGCATTCAATTTTAGTTTGTACAGTTTGAGCTTGAACCCAAGCGTTTCCGATAAGAGAGAGGAGAAGCAAGAGAGAAGAACTAATTTGAAGACATTGTAGACCAATGGGTTCACCGTCCAGCCACACACACGGAAAGGCCCATCAACTTCTTTCAGCAAGCTTTCGACCAATCGAAGGACTTGTAAGGTTGACATGAGCTCATCCTTTTTGTGCGGCTTCTTTTCGATGCTGAGATACAAGTTAATCTACAATGGAGAACGAGAGCGAATGAAGCACGACATTTTTAATTGTCACCACAACAGAACGCAGTTAAGCGGAGAGAACACGTGAACAGTGTTTTAAGCTACAAGGAAACATGAGGTGAGGGTTTGTGCAGTCACAGGTCGGAAGTACGGTAGATTCGGATGATCCATTGTCCACAGCACACCAGCGCACACATAAGGATGCTAAGTGTGCTTGAATCAGCATGGGTGGAGTGGGATAAGGTCAGTCGAATCTCCAGGTAAAGGGAGTAGAGCGATCTATGGATTATAGAGTAAGGTCTCAAAAAGAACATGAGTACAGATCTATGAAGTGTAGAACAAATAATCGGCAGGAGAAACATAACCTATTCACCAGAAACGACACTGACACACACCAAGACGTGACATTGGAAAAATGGAATTACCTGTTCAGTAATAAGGACCGAAAAGTTGCGATATTTGTTTGTGATCTTGGTGCCCAAAATGATGAAACGATGGAGGAAGACCATTATGGCAAGGACCAGACCGAGTATGTCCCAGTTGGTGAGGTGCGAGAATACGTTGGTATCTTTCCGGGATAAAAGCTAAGGCGTGAAATACAGAAACATTGTGGAAGATTAAAGGGTGGTAAATGAAATCAGTCTGAAACCAATGGAGATGATGTAGCACGTGAACAATAGACCAGTGAGTTTATTTTAGCAGGTACAAAATACAGTTGACAACAGATTGATGCTGGATCCACACAAGATCGAACAATACAGGGTTTTCAAAGTGAAAGGAACATGACGACTTCAACAAATTCGAAGTATGTCATATCTTCAGTCCATCTCAGAGTATTATGATGAGCACCATATACTAATTCAGTTAGGGCGTATTATTAATATTCTGACGAAAAGTGAATGTAAAGGCTAACCGAGAGTGAAAGACGGACGTCGCAACATCCAAAAAATATGCGGTATTAACCGTTCATAGCGAAGCCAACACTGTGAATTTGTGGGAGCGGAAAAGTTCCGCACTTCGCAGTAGATACAATGAAGTGAAGGTATAAAAATTTACACTAAACGTCGATGCGACAATTTTCAAAATGTGGGTATGATAATGCAAAAGTACAGATTACTACGTGTAGGAAGCGCACTAAGATACGACGTGGTACTGCGCGTCAAGAACCAACTGGGAGACAGATCAGTGCATTAAATAGAATCGATGATGGAAGAACGTTAAGTAGATTGTAATGGAAAAGCACGGAAACATAGAAAACGTACTTCTGGAGTTGTGGCTGAATTAACTATCGATTGAGGAAGTGGGTGGAAACATGTGCTAGAAAAACGGAGTGTTGCAATCAAATAATTTTCTGAGGACACAAAGACAAAGGCTAACTCGCTAAGCACCAAAATATGACGGCACACGCTGCAATAGTTTGGGCTAAATTCAAAAGAGTTCGACAATCGCTTATACAGGCCGTGATATTGAGGAGTCCAATGGCAGTGAACAGATGGGGTAAATGAGATAGTGGGTATCTTTCGTCCAATCTTCAAGTGGATGTTGCAAATGAACTAACGTGATAATAATTGTTCTCTTGGTAAGCCCGTCCACTCTAAGTGGGTTGAAATGCACCCAGTGGCGAAGCGACTTCTGAAATCACCATTACCAAAGTGCGTTCATTCGGCATTTCGGAGGCTGTTGTTAGTGCTCAGTCCAATTGATTTTTCAGTAACAACGGAATTCAGCGCCTTGCCACAACGCGGAGCTGGCATTGTGGACAATGAGACGGGGTTTGTTGAAACAGCGGGTAGGGGCCCTACAACCAAAGTTGGGTCATCTCTTGTTTGTTACTTATATGAAGTCAGAAGTGGGTCCCTTCTCCCCTCGGTGTCGTGTGTATAACTAAATAAATGTTTCGCTTTCGACAAATGTTCGAGGCACACCAGGACAACAACGAGCGACGTTCCGTATTGCATCAGCCAGATTTGTAATTATCAGCTTGGGATTCTAACGCATCTTTGGGTCGACACTCATAGATGGCAATGCACGTGCCGAGTGCCCTAAGCACATCTACAATGGTGAGGGGATTTGGAGGAGTAGGCGGCGATTGTAAAGTAACAATTAACGACCGCTTGCAACGCCTGCCTACCTCTGACCAAGGATGATCTTGCTTTGTTTACCGGTCATAGTATGGCGTAATGTGTGTGTGTGTGTGTGGCTGATCACTTATCTCTCCTATAAAACTGGGATACACGAAACCTGCTCTATGCGGTGTTATAATTCCCAACGACGCTCCGCGGTCGCCCATGAGTCAATAAGACTGGACGATCGAGATGAAGATACCTTTGGGTACTGATTTAGTAAACGCAAAAGGCATACAACACACACCTGCAATGTTTTAAAACCCTGCTGACGTCCTCAAATATTTCTTATCCACTTTACCTTTCGAATTACCGAAAGTGGTGTCAAGCAATTCGTGAACATTCTACTAATCGGCCAAAGACATTATTCGGTGAGATTATGTGAAAGCGATTAGATTATGACTGACAAAATGTGACCCGATCGGTTCAATAGGAGGTATCTGCAAACATGAATGGTTCGGAGGGCATGGCTCAATTAGCACGAAGGAGGTGCTCCCTTTGGTCTCCTATACAGACTAACCACTTAGTGTTTATGGTGCTAAGTTGTATCTAACTTAAAAAAGTGAGACAATGATATCTCAAGCGGACTGCTCCACCAGTGCCGCATTGTATTTATCCGCTAGCTAACTGCGACCGTGTGAGGCTAGAAAGCTGTAAATGTTTTCATTAACTTTGTTTAAAGCTGTCTATTGCGGTCACGATCGTCCAGCACATGCATTAGTACTGATCACTAACAGTTCCACTCATCTGTCAACGTTTTCCTGGATGTTGCGTGGCTCGCCCTTATTCGGAGCCTCATCAAGCGCTGCTTCTGTATTTATTCTTAGCACACATCGATCTGCAGTTTCTAAGCAATCTCTTTTTTGGGTTCGAACATCAGGTTGGCCCATTACCGTCTGATTCGCCTAGTGCTCCTATTGTCCGAACATAGCCCAGCACGGTCCATCTCTTGACTTACAACTGGGTGGAAGCGAAGCACGAGGTACACTGCTGTTTTCCCATTGATGGCGGTGGTGAGATGCATTCTATGGGAACGAAATGTAGACGATGCGGAGATGAACAATGTAGAAAGAAACTAATTACGGGACAAAGTGGGAAGTGCAACAAGGTGTTCGCCTATGTGCTAACGGATTCTGGACTGCCAGAGACCACGGAGTTAATAATAAATATTTGAAAACATTTTGATTGTGGAAACATCGCTGATTAGGAAGGTTAAATAAGGGCAGAAATTTCAAACAGCGATGAAGATAAGAATTGTGGCAAGTCAGTTGCTGACGTATACTAGGTACTAAGACGATACCAGACCGCTCTCCGGGCGGTTAGGGCTCACCTGTGAACACAACCCAAGTCCAAAAACAAACACGATATAGAAGGCAGCAGCGATGATCGCTTCCACTGAGCGCTGAGGACCGCGCTTTTTCAAATAGGAACGCAGTGTCAACCAGCATTTAATGTGACGCAACTTGTTCAGCCGAAACTGGGGAACATGATATTTACGTGCGCGTCGAGCCGAGGTGAGGGAGAAGAAGTACTTGGCGTACAGAAGACGCTGTGAAAAACACACAGGGAATGAGCAGCACTTAAAGTAGAATGAAAGGAATTGTGGAGAAGGATGAAAAAATATTTCATTTTCTACATCGGAACATTTGCTAGTTGGCGATGACAACATCCTAAGAGAAATGATATAGATGATCCAGTCAGATTTATTATTCCCATTGCCGGGCTGTATAATGCCACTGCACAAGCCTTAGTCATTCGGACAAGTGCATCGTATACCTGATAAGCGATTTGTTTATCGTCTTCCTTGCGTGTGAAGTCATTGGATAGAACCGGTGGCAAATTGGTTTGTAAGGCAGTGCTTCGCGGCCACAGTTACGTACCAGTTAAGGTTGTCAAAAACCTTATAAAATTGTCAGCCGTGAATATCGTTATCGTTCTCATGTAACATTTAAACTATCTGACTCATGGTATTGCAAGACTCACAAATGTGACATATCATCGTAATTGTGCAATCGTTCTCTGAATCGGTAAAATATAAATCTAACAACGTTTTGAACTGCTGCACCGATGTTGTCTCCATCATATGTTCGGGCAAACTGTTCCAAATGTTTCCTACTCTCCGTTCGAAGCACAGTGGGTGGGGAACTAACTGCACATCCGGCACGACAAGTTTATATATATGTCCGCGTGTGCTGCATGGCCCTCGTACGTGCAGCATTGGCCTCAGCATGGGAAAGTCACCGAGATGTAGAATACGGTAGGTCATAATGAGGTCGACTCAAATCCGACGGTAGGACAAGATGTAGAGTCCTAGTTTCTCGCACCGGTCTTCATACCCTAAGCCACGTAAATTCGGGATGAGCCTGGTAGTAATGTGTTGGACCCGTTCGACCTTTTGTGCCTCGCCTCGAGTAATCGGAAAATAAGCGGGCGAACCGTACTCTACCATTGGTCTAATAATGGAAGAGAAGAGGCGAGTGGCAACCTTTTCAGACAATGTGCCGAAGCTACGTTTGAGCACCCAAAGCATGCGCAGTCCGTTATGATATAGCCTGTTCGTATTGTCCACGGACTTCAAATCGTAACGCCAGAGTACACCTAGGTCCTTAACGGAGGGTATGGGATATAGCAGTTGGCCGTCAAGGGTGTAGGTTCGGTCGTCAGCACCCTTCCCCAGGCTCATAACTATAGACTTGGCAGGGTTGACCGGGAGAAGAACTGCACATCATGTGGATGGGCGGTTGAGATCTTGCTGAAGTAGGCCACAGTCGTCGGGACTGTCAATTTCTCTGCAAATCTTCATGTCTGCAAACAAGGCACACGGCGACCGGAGAAGCTGCGGTAGATCGTTGATGTGCATCAGGAACAGAGTGGGCTCCAGCACAGTGCCTTGACGCACGCCACTTGTAGAGGGGTATCAGTCAGTTAGATGGTCCTCGACCTCTACCCTCCACTTTCGTTCAACAAGAAAGTCGCGGATCCACCGGTGCAGTGAGCCACCGACACCACACATTCTGAGTTTGTGAAGGAGAACCTCTTGGCTGACCTTGTCGAAAGCTTTACTGAAATCGATGAATATCACGTCGACAGACTTCCCCTTGCTTATTGCCTTCAACCACTCATGCCTCGTCACAAGCAGGTTCGTAATGCATGAGCGACCTTGCATAAAACCGTACTGTGGGGGCGTCAGGACCTCGTTTGACTGCAGCAATCTCTTCTTCATGGTTTTCTCAGCAACTGCCAAAATAGGTGTCAGACAAATTGGCCTGTAGTTGTCTACTTTGCAAGGGTCGCCGCGTTCCGGAATAGGTTTCACCACCGAACATTTCCAGTCAATTGGCAACGAACCTTCAGACAGCGACCTTTTGAAAAGGTCAGTCATGACAGGAGAGATGATGGTCGAAAGTGACTTGAAAACCAGTGGGTGAAGCCCATCAGGTCCGGCAGATTTGGTGCCGTCAAGGTTGGCGAGTAGTTGACATACATCTTCAACGCCGCAATCCAGACTGTCGAGTTCGGTAAAAGCGGTACACGTCAAACTCGGGACAGACACTCGGTCATTCGCAAATACAGGAGAGAAGTGCGCAGCCAACGCGGACGCACGCTCAGTGCTGGAGGTTAGGGGCTGTCCATCCGGGCCACCCAGCACTGGCACATCACTTGCCGGCTTCAGGCGTCGCTTAACGTAAGCGAAGATCCCCTTTGGCGCGGTCTTCACGGCTATTGCGAACTGCTCTTCGAAATGTCGGTGTTTATTCTTTTTTGCACTGTTGCAGAAGTTCCGCTGACTTTTATACCCTTCGCAATCATTGGAAGAGCCAGAGAGGAGGAATTTGTCCCACAGTTTGCGCCGCCTCCGAGCCAGATTTCCATACTCCTTATCAAACCAATGAGGCTTAATCGGTCCAACGTTCCGACATTCCAATGGCACAAATGGGGAACACAATGATGTCAATCTCTTTTATAAATATCCAACAGTCTTACGCAGATGCAGCTTGTGACAGAGACCAATTCAGTTGGCTCGCGGCTCGAGCTAGACCATCGAAGTCCGTTTTCCAGTAGTTGTGAGCTGATTCCATCGGAGGTGAATACGGCAAAAGTAATTCCATATAAGCTATGAGCACTGAGTGGTCGCTCGTAGCTAGGGGCTCCAGAATCCTAATGTCACGCACTCGTTGTTCGTAGCTCGTTAACATCAGGTCGAGACAGGACGGGATTGAACGTGTCGTTATGCGTGTTGTCTGGCATATGTCTTGCGATGCACCAGCTTCAAGTACCAAATCCACGAACTTTGCTTCAACCTCACTATGTCCAGGCATCAAATGCACATCAGGCCATCGTATTCGAGAACAATTAAAATCGCCCGTAAATAGAAAGTGTGGACGACACATGTGGGTTCGAAGATGGGGGAGCCAATTTAAACAACGACTCAGGGGGCTGCGATAAACTGCGCCCACAAGCAGTTCTCCGCGCCTGAGGCGGATGGAGCACCGCAGTAGCTCACACAAACCATCGTCACTTCGGTAGGTGCTCACAAGTCTCCCACGCAGGGAAGACCGGATGTAAAGTAAGACACCACCGTGGGCATTCGTTAGTCTATCGCATCAGAAGCACGAGTAACCGTTGAGTTCAAGTTCCTGGGTGTATAACTCTGAATGCAGCCATGTCTCTGCGAGTCCCACTACGTCTGGCCGCTCAGACGCAACGAAACAACAAAGCTCGTCGCGCTTGTTCATAACACTGCAAAGGTTTGTGAAGGCTACTCACAGGCCGTAGCAGGAGCCGCCGGGCGTGCTTGCAGTGTGAGCAGCCTGTTTATCCTGATTCGCAGATTGTTGGAAACTACCCGAAAATTTATGATACGAAGATTTGTTTCCCCCTCACCAGTACGTCTTTTCAGCTCACTGATGGCAGACTTGAGCCGCTCCCTGCCCACTGGGTCCAGGTCTAGACGAACATGGATCTTCAAACCTTTCAGCCTACTTAGGCGGGACATGATCAGTCTTGGACTGGCTTCGTCCACAAAAGTGATTCTCATAGACCGATTTTGTTGATCACCTTGCTTTCCAAGACGGGTAATTTGCCTCACTTTTACCGAGTCCTCACCAGCGTCGAGGAGTCTGTCAAATAGACTCTGTAAAATCGCGACATCGTGATCGTAGCGCATTTGGGGTAATGGATCACTGGACTCCGGTGCGTGAAAGAGCACGAGATTATAACGCCTCTGGTCGGACGTGGTTGACCTTTCAGGGTAAAGTATATTACCAGGCTCATGTGGTTTAGCTAATTGTTAACTTACATAAGTTAAACGCCCAACATCCCTTCGTAATTTCGTTCTTTCCACTAGTCTTCAGCACTCAGACTTTCACCTGCTGTGACATCAGTGCTCGTAGCGCACAACAAAGTAAACAATTTATGCCAGGTGCAACTGGGCTTCTCACAACGGTTGGACTTCGTGCTGGTGAGTTTGTTGCACGGGTAGAGAAGATTGAGCTAAAAGCTGAAGGCTCTTCGGGCTAGCTTGTTAGGCCCAACACATGGAGCTGTTCGCAACGGAATGATGAAGTCTACGCGTCGGCTTTACTCTTCCTGGTTGTTTCGGCAATTTTCACATAAAGTTTGAACGAAATCGTGTTGGATCTCACGAAAACGATGGAAATGCTCAACTGGTAATCCAACACATGAAATGTGGTATTTAACTTGGCACAAACCACACGTGAGGGGATTTGCACGGTATCCGACTATCTTCGAACAAGTACCACAGGATGACTGCTTCGGCATGGTGAATAATCCGAAAACAAGATGGCGGCGAATTTCTGGAGAAAATGGCGATAGCAAGATCGCCGAAACCAAGCGATGAAAACACAAGTATTTAACCCGTTCAACACAGACAAGCTAGTATCAAGACCATTACTCCGAAATTCGCTGTGGTATGCAACTCACGATTGAGGTCGGCGGACACGCACACATTGGGATGGGAGTCACAACCCAAGGTGGCAGACAGGCCAAAAAATAACCATACAATCCTTGTCGTTGATATTTTATTGCAGCCTGATAACAGGGTCATCTTGTTTGAAGGTGGAGAACACTCACAAGTATGTCAAAGCACTACCATGATACGGGAGGGGTTTGTTCGGCTGTCACAGCTTGCGCGATTCGGGTTACACTTAGTTCGAAGTGGTTTTAAGATCGTCTATACGTTTTACTGTGCGCGTGTATGTAACAACCTATGCATTTGCAAGTTTGGCTACATAAAACATGCACATAAAATTAAATATATGTAATCCACGCCGGCAACAGTCCATGAGCTGGTTATAAATCAAGATGGCGCATGAAGTTTTCGACACCCAGTGGCCGTTGAGCTACATATTAAGAACATGTTGTAAACAGATCTGCAGATCAGCTGCGAACCGTGCGTCCGCATATTGAGGGCGCGTGCTGCGTTTGACAAGCTAGAACACCGGATGTGGAATAAGATCATCAGCTGACCAAACTGATTGTATACATGTCAATGGTGTTCCTCTCTACCGAAGCGAAATGACATTCGATATGTGGAGCGATGCCGCCAATAAAGCCGGCGTCGGATACTGCGCATCCGTTGGAGTAACAAAGTCCCTGAAACAGAGGTGCTTCGCTTGACCGCCTTGTAGGGTCACTACAGATGGATTTAAAATGTCCGCCGTAGGGATGCGGTCCGGATATCGAAGTGCCTGCTATATGGCAAATTGCGTTTCACAATGAAACGTGAGTTTATCACGAACTAAAGTTGATTTAAGCGTTGGGAATCGATTAATAGTATATCGCCGCCAATGGCATGGCCACATCGACTATGCGGGTGGGCAGGTGCATCAGGAAGAGAAACGCTGGTTACCTAAGAGACAGGCGCTGATGAAGACAAGTATCCGGTGCTGTAGCACATGCGGTCGTGTATGTCTTGGCCGAGCCGATTTAGTAAATCATCAGCATGACCACAATATGCCAATATAAAAAGGCGACGAATGAGTTGAATAGATAAGTGTCACAGAATGGTATGGACGCTATCTTTGGTTCCAATAGCTGATGCAGGCCAATAATGCAGCGGATGTCGCAAATGTACATGTGTATGTGAATTTATGTTTTTGTATTTTGTCAACGTTTACTGATTAATATCCTCTGTGAGGTTGCCTGTTGAAAACCGCCAATTCGATTATACTAGATACAAGAGATAGGGTGCACGGTCTTCGTGACCGTGCTAAGCATGAGCAACCGGATAGTATCATGCCCACAGAGTGGTTTTGTCTTCTCATCACGCTTCCACTACTGCTGCCTTTGTCGTTCGCCAACACTTCATTTATTGTTAATCTCACCTCCGTTGATTCTGCCTCCGACCCCAGTTTCGCAGACAGTAGTATGTTACGCACCTGCGACCACACTCAGACGCAAGAGGGTTTTGGCGAGTTTGCGCCAATTTGAATAGGGGCTGCCTGACTAGACGGATGGTAGCAAACCATTGAGCACCCGGAGGTGCCCTCCCATCGTCAGAGACAACGCTTGGCGCTCCTGTTCTACGCAAATCGGGCTGTGAGCATAGAACGCGTGGACCTGTTGTATCCCATAGCTAGGTTTTACGGGAAGAGGGTCATCAACCTCTTCCTAACCTATGACGGAGTTTGGATTAGGATAGTGGCAGGGCGCCCAAACCTGACAGGAGAAGGAATCGGGTCGTCGGTCAAAGCATTCGATTGAATGTACACCCGAAAGGCAGTGGGTCTGGCACATGGTCAGTTCACTGACTCATGCGGATTGGTGTGTCTTGGCTCTTGGATAAAAGAAGGGTGTAACCCAACTGCAAAGCAGCAACCGCTACGAGAAAGCGTCCAGGGCATTAGCCCACGGGACAGCTTTGGGAGCAACGGGTCAAAGATCTGCCAGGACCACCGAGTAATAGTAGAATGCTGATCTGGTGAGCAACAAGGTTTGTTTGTTGGGTGCCACCCAGGAGCAATCAGAAACCTATCATATGATGCAGGAGAGGAAGTGGAAGACAAATGGGTAGTGCCAGTAACAGTGGAGTGAATACTGCAGCGAACTAGTGTTACGGCTTGAATTTGAACTGAAACTGGTGAGCAGGGGGCTGAAAATGACCAACTATAAGTAACGGTAACTAAAGTGCAAACAAAACTAGTTGCTATCAAAAATGAAGGGACATCTTAGTAGTCTATGACGTCAAAATAAATGAGAAAAACAATGCGCATAAACGGAGTTTCCTTAGGCATTTACGCAGTCTTCTAACGCAATTTTAAACAATATCTTGCTCCAACGCAAAAATGCGATAAGCAGCGATAACAATACCCGCCGGGTCGGTGTCACAAATACTCCTGGGGAACGTCATCTGATGTGTGGCAGATTCAGAACGGTGGTGTAGCGGTGATGACGATGATAAAACCGGATGACCGTGGGCACATAAAAATTTGTTGTCACTTTGTGCAAATATCAACCAGTTGCCGTCATTAGCCACGATTTCTCGCGTAAGAAAAGAACACTCTATCACAATGACTTGTCTTAAAGATACGCATGTCGACAGGTTCAACGAAAACGCCGGACCAATTGTCGTGGCATGTCTGCAATTGCTGTTTGGTGTAGACAACAGCTGATTCTGACATTGGCTGAACATTTCCTAGTACTGTGCGGTCATTAGACAGAATTCATTTTGTGGTCCCACAAAATGGCTTAATCTAAATTCTATTTGGCAGATGTGTAAAAGAGGTCCCTATAGAAAACTGTACGGTCTCATTGTTACGGTAGTAGATCTGTGCAGACCCTATCCGGATAGGGCCAATGATGAAAAGTACAAAAACCAGCCAGGTAAGATAGGTTAAACGATTTGGGCCGAGCGATAGACTTATGGACACAGTCACGAAACCTAATCTAACAGTTGCATCAATCAGCTTCCACTACCTTAGTGAATCGTGTGGCTCACCTGCTGAAACGTGCGCTCCGCGATGCACAAGAGGAAGAAGATGACGGCATAAATGTTGAAACGCAAGATTATGCCTAAGATAATGACGAATCTGCCTCTGGAATCGATGCAAAAGGAGGTGATTAGGATTAAAAATTAGGAACTGGAAATGGCAAATTAGTTGAATGGTACAAGAACACAGGCAATACTCAGTGAGTTACAAACACACACACACACACAACATGAGTGATAAGCGAAAAAAAGCAAATTATGTTGCTAATCGACTCGCGTGGAATGTGTAAACCCAACTGATACTGAAATGTGTTGTTGTTGGTAGGCCAAATTTATTAAGGCGCATGTCCCTACTCAGACAATAACGGATCGAGTAACTGAAGATGAGTAATGGAAGTAAACTAGCTATTTGCGCCATGGCTGAATGAGGGGAATCAAAAGGGTGTTGAACCGTAGACACTCTTAGAAGACCGGTGCAATTGATGGTAGTTGGGTAGAAAAAGTATTGTGCTCCACGGAGCACCGACCGGCAGCATTTTGTCTGAGTGGAACTTAAATGGTCGGTTCAGTTAGAAAAGATAGATGGTTGAGCCAGTGCTCCAAAATGCCGAAGTTAACGGAAAAATAAACAAATAGCAGCAAAAGAGACACAAATGCTCCGCGTCAAAATAAGGGGTTTGCAGTCTCGTGTGTTATATTTCTCTCTTTTTCGTGGATAAAGGAAAATATGTCAGATCGATCATAGAGAGTTCAGAAGGCCAATAATCATGAACGCAAGGATTCCCAAGATAAAACATGGGTCAGGCTGATACAACGAGCCATGCACCCAGCTACATTTCCTGTATATGGAGAACTCGAACGAGCATGATGTGGTGCGGTAGTTGCCTGGTAAATGGAAGTGAAATATTCTGGTGGAGTATAGGAGCCCACTAGTACACTGCACTCTGCTTGACCCCGCCTCATGGCACAAAGAAACAGCCCTTTCACAGCGCTAGCGAGCATCTCCATCTAACAGCAAATGGGTTAGT